AGGGGTGGCTGGCCCTGAGGCAGAGCTGGTGGCTGCGGCCGAGGTCCCATCGTGGGCTGCAGGGGTGGCTGGCCCTGAGGCAGAGCTGGTGGCTGGGGCTGAGGTTCCATCGTGGGCTGCAGGGATGCCTGAGGCAGATGTAGAGCTGGTGGCTGGGGCCAAGGAGCCGGTGTGGAGTGTAAAGGTGGCCAAGCCTGATGTAGCAATCCCGGTGGCTGTAGTGGAAGTGTCAGCTGAGCTTTTGGTGGTGGAGCTGCTCTGAGATAAGGTGACGGCGTTCTTCTGGCCTGGAAGGGCAGCAGAGCCTGAACCAGGACTGAGGGTGGGGAGTAAACTGCTAGTCATGCTCACAGTGCTGCTCTGAGGGGCTGGGCACTGGGCTGCTTTGGGTAGTTTCTGGTTTTCTGCTCTGACTAGGGCCAGAAGTTGGAGGAGCCATTGGGTTAGAGGGCAAATCAGAACAAGGAGAAAGTGTCATCACTGGCAATCAGAAAATTAATACTAGGAGACTTGGGGACCCGGCAGCGTGAGCAGCCCCAGGGTCTGCCCACCACCTTCCCTTTGGCAGCCACCGACTCTCTTCCCACACTGCCTCTGCCCCGGCAGTTACCTCTCTGGCTCCCTCCCCCTAGGCTTCATTTCGGGAGGATGGGAGGACATTTGCCTCCCCTGCCACTCTCCTGGGGGCTGCCACCTCTTCTGCCTCTTCTCTGCCTGTCCTTACCCTCTCTCCACTCAGGCGCAGGCCAGGCCACCCCTGTTTACAACTTTTGGCTCTGGAGGTGCCATTTTCCGGGAAGCAAAACCCAAAGAAAGTCCAGGAAGAGCACACGAGCAGGGTAGCCCCTCCCCACCTGTGCCCCTCACCTGTAAGCACCAGGAGCAGCAGCAGCAGGAAGGAAGGGGCCCGGGTGCCCGGTGTCATGGTGGTGGTGAACTGGCGGGAGAGGCAGAGCAGACTGGGCCGGCACTGCGTGTGTGAGGTGGAGTGGCACTGGTGCCTGCTGCTTTATACCGGTCCCCCTCCTGCCCTAGGCACAGCCGGAGCAGGTGACAGGTGACAACGCCCCGCCCCCTCCCCTCCCCCCTACTTTTTCCTCCTCCTCCCCGACCATTCCTGGGTAGGGTATGTGGGTTCCAATCAATCTTCTGACAACCTGTTTGCTCTCCAACTGGCCTTTCATCAACCACTCCCTGACTCCAGAAGGGGGAAGTGGGGAGTCTGAGACTTGGGCCCCAGAACAACAGCTAAGGTGAAGAGAGGGCGCAGAAAGCCCGGAAGCCCGCCCTAGACGCAGCCCACTCCCCTGCACTCCTGGGCCCTCTGACCCCCCTCCTGGACCGCGGCGGAACAAGAGGGCTTGGCAGTGAGTGCACGGGTGCCAGCCCCGACTTCCTGCCCCCACTTCCCGGAATCGCCCCACCTGGGAACCGCTCCCTGCCCCTTCCACGCCAGCTCTTCCCCGAAACCCGCGGTCCCCGCCCCGCCCCGGCAGGACTTTCCAGCGGCCTAGGCGCCCTCCTTGGCTTTCGCCCTAGAAGGGGGGGAGACTCCACGTAGAAAAGGACGAAACCTGGCCGGGGCGCAGCCTGAGGTCCGTCCTTCTACACTCCCCACCCCTTCGCTTCCCGGCCGGGAGCGCCCGCCCCCTGGTGGCCACTGGCAGCCTCATGGCCCCTGGCGGCGGAGCGGCTTGGGCGTGCGGTGCCGTCGGTCAGAGGACGCGGCGCCGTCGGTCAGAGGACGCGGCGCTGAGGGTGGGTCCTGAGGAACGTGGAAGGGACTCCGGGCTCCGAAGGGGAGGACATCAGAGCGCGACACCAGCTTTGTGGGGACAGTTGCATATTTAGGAGGCAGAGTAGGCGAGGCGACAGAATGGACTTTGGGGCACAAAGCTCCCCTTCGGGGAGCACGGGGGACCTGGGCAGGTGCGCTCGCCGCGGGGACAAGGCTGCACGTGAGGGTGTGCAGTTTGGGGGAACGGTCTGTACTCTGGGGGCAGGTGTTGGGGGCAGTGAGGTATTCAGGCCACAGGGCACAGACAGGGCCCCAGGCGGGGTCCGGCGGCCGGTGTCCCAGTCACGGCCCGCGCCACACAGACTGGAAGGTAACACTGGGCTGCAGGGGGCGGCGGGAGGCGGGGAAGGCCGGGCCGCTGCGGGTGTCCAGGTGGGCGGCCCCAAACTCCACTCCAGGAGTTGCCGGGCAACAGCCATTCAGTTCGGTTGCCGGGACACGCGTCACCATGGCAACGGCTCCGCGCAGCTCAGGCTGAGTATTTAAAGAACAAGCGCGCGCACCGCCCAGGCGTCGGAAAGCGGCCCTGCCTTTAGGGCTCTACGGTCCCCCCTCCCGGCGCCCCCCAGGCCCCTCTCACCGCACCGGGCGCCGAAGGTCTGGCCTGCCTCTCGGGTGAGCCCAAGTCCCTGCGCGCCCTCTGCCCTGGGCCGAGGGCTAGAGGCGGTGGGGAGCGGGACTCCGGGCCCCGGGCGGGCGGGAGGGACGGGACGCGGTGCAGTGTTGTTCTTTCCCCCGCCAATATTGCACTCGTCCCGGCCTCCGGCCCCCTCGGCCCCCCGGCCTCCCCCTCACCCCGAGCGAGGCAGCCCCTGCCCTCCTGGCTTTCCATCCGGCCGGTCTAAGATAACCTGGAGTGTCGCCGCTGCCACCGTGAGTAATGGGGCCGGGAGGACGTTAGCTCTCCTCACCAGCACCTCGTCCTTCATCTAACCCCACCTGCACCTCCTCACCCACCCCAAGCTCAGCCAAACTTCCCTACATCTCTAACTTCCAACCTGCCAGCTTTCTCTTGGCCCCAGGTTCCTTCCTTTGCCCCGATATCCCGGGAAATGCCTAAAACAAGCAATTGCACTGGCATAGAAAACAACTGAAACTTTATGGCAATGTGCTGTTATCTTTCCTGGGGTTAGTACCTGAGTAGGACCCCCTGAAAATTTCCGAAGCCCTGAACAGTGGGCCACTAACCCTCTGGGGCTTAACTCCTGACCCACCCAGAGGAGGGTGTTTGCTGAGGGGCTGTGGTATGGACCCCAGGATCTCCAGGATGGACCCCAGGGCCAAAGGGTCTAAAGTCAGGATTCTGAATCCGTGCGGCCACCACCTCACACCCTTCCCTGGAGCAGCTGCCTCCGGAAGGGCTCAAAGTCCTCAGGCACTGTGTCTGAAGAAGGGGAAACAAGAACGGTCAGAGAAGGCGGCCCTCAGGACGGGAGGGTTAGGTCGGGCTGGCCTTGGTGCAGAGCTCACCATTGCAGCGGTACTGGAGATTGGACCAAATGATGTTCTCTTGGGAGAAGCAGAATACACCGAGACGCCCGCCTCGCATGGATGTGTCAATAATCACCCCAGAATCCGCTACTAGCTGGGGACCCTCATAGAGCTTCACCCTGTCCAGGACAGGAGTGTCCGTTGGTGCCAAGGTGTCAGCAGGCACTGTGCCACCTCGTCCCGGGCCCTGCTCATCCCAACCCCCCTGAGCTCACCAGGCCCGAGAGGAGGGAGAGATGGAAAGGGGAGGGAAGGGGGTGTTTTTCTCAGGCATGGGCCCCCTAGCTCTTTGTCTGGCCCCTTTTGCATCTCAAAGCACCAGCCACATTCCTAGCGAGGATTGGGTTGCCATGACGATGAGCACAATGGGCTGGGGGGTGAAGTCACCCGCTTCCCAGGCTCTAGTCCACCCCCTTTATCCCATGCCTTGGCGCCCCACAGCCCCAGGCACCTTAAAGGAGAACCAACCCAGCGCCCTGGACCGGGCTCTTGGTCCTGGAGAGCCCACCTCCAAACAGACCAACTCCCTCTCCCTACCCAAGTCATCCCCCCAGCTAGGGAGTCTCAGGGGAAGGAAAGCCAAAGTTGAGCAAGCACTGAAGCGAGGCCTGTGAGAGCTAGGCCTCGGTTTGTTTGCTCTGCTGTGAAGGACACCTTCCAGGTCGGGCGCTGGTGAAGCAGGTTCTGTGCTGTTCCACTTAAGGGGCTGCAGGTGAGGGGCCTCCACACATGGGCCTGGTGCTAGGAGGCTCAGGGAGCCGGAAGGGCGTCCAGCTCAATGCTTGTGTTTTACAGAGGAGGAATGCTGTGCCCACACGGGCTGCAGGTCACCATGCCTGTGGCGAGGAGGGGGTGGAGGGAAGTGGCCTCCTCCCCTTGAAGCGGAACCCAGGGAAGGTCACCAGTGACCCCAGCTAAGGGGAAAGGAACGGCCCGAGGGCGCAGGCCCTGCCCTCACCGAATGTAGCCCACTTGAGGCCGGTGCAGCAGCTGCCAGCGATAGGAAGTCTTGTCTCGCCAGCCCACATTCCGGGGATCAGTCCACAGCAGTCGTACCTGATCAGGGGTGTGGCCAGTATGCCACAGGGCATTCCGGAGGTGCTCCCCTGGGCCGGACACTGACGTCACTGCCTGAGGGTCATTGGCAAAGACACTGGGTCAGCCCTGGGACCACAGCGAAGGGAGACAGGTCAGTAAGCACCCATGGGAAAGCAAGGGAGGAGAATTCTCTGAAGCCCCACCCAGCCAGAGACGACCTCCAGGCGAGACCTGTGAGACCTGTGAGTAAGCGGTTCCAGGGAGGCTGGGGGAGGCCCAGGGGTTGGACAGGGAGAGCTTGGGAAAGGGCCCTGGGTCGGGGACACTGGTCGGCTGGGAGACCTTGAGCTGCAGCCCGGGCTGGGCAACAGCCCGGAAAGGTGTGGCCTGCCAGTAGGTCTGCTCAGTCTGCTTCCACATGACCACATAGAAGCGGCCGCTGTCCTGGTAACTGAAGAGAAAGCCTGCATAGTCGTCGTCCGTCACTGTGTTCACATGGAAGGTGCCTTCGAAATCCACGCCATTGAAAGCTGTGTACCCTGGGGTGGGCCGGGGTGGAGGTCAGTGGCAGCAAGGCTCCTGTTGGCCCACTGTGGGGGCACTGATGTGAGGCCAGCTTGCCCTCTGCCCCTTAGGGGACTTCCATGTGGAAGTTACTGAACTGGGTGTCCCTTACATACCAACTGCCAGCCCAGGGTCGCTGTTCATGGTCTGAACGATTTCCATGCCCTGGGGTGTTAAACAAGAAAAAGCCCTGGTCGGGGTGCACTGCCCCACCCTGGCCGCTTGAGGTTTGGGGTGACCGCACCTGCCTAGCCCCCTCCTGCCCTAGGTACCTGATTGAGCACAACCCAGTTTGGGTCAATCTGGGCATCACCCTCAGGATCCAGGACAACAGTCTGATAGGCCCGGAAGTCCGTGAGGGTGACCTCTGCACTCTCGGGACACACGTCCAGGGGGTCGAGCACTGCGTCATTGTCAAAGTCGTCCTCACACGCATCCCCGATGCCATTGCCTGGGATCGTGAAGCTGGCTGCTCAGGAGGCATGGCCACCGTTGCTGGCCACCACCGTCACCTTGTGGATCTGGCATTCCTGACCTCGCCCACACCCCTGCAGCTCACACCCCGGACAGAGCCCACACAGCCCGCCCCTCTGGGCTCAGCTCTACCATCTGAGTCCTTCTGGTTGGGGTTGGGCACCAGCCGGCAGTTGTCAGGGCCAGGAGGCACGTAATCCGGGACACCATCGTTGTCATCATCAGCATCACACTGGTCACCCAGCCCGTCATTGTCTGAGTCCAGCTGGGAGCTGTTGGGCAGCTGTGGGCAGTTGTCCTTGGTGTCTTGGTGCCCATCCCCGTCACTGCAGAAGAACAGCAGCAGACAAGGCTGAGAGGTTCCCCAGCCTTCTCCTGCCCCTCCAGCCGGATGTGGGGAGGCCCAGCAGCAGGAGCGGAAGGCGGACTGGGAGAATGACTGTGCTCAAAGGTGCTACAGAGTCGGGCTGGGGATTTAGCTCAGTGGTTCTGCCGCCTGGCCCACAAGTGCAAGGATCGGCGTTCAATCCCTGGTACCAGAAAGAAAAGCGGTAGAGTCAAGATGGTCACAGGGATGTGAGAATGATTACAGAAACATAACACACCCCTTGGAAGACCTCGCACCTCTGGCCAAGACCTACCTGTCTTCATTGGTGTCACAGACGTCCCCCACCAGGTCACTGTCTGCATCTGTCTGAGAGAGGGCCCGGTCTCACCATCTCCTTTCTTCTTTTTATTTCGCAGACGGGGGTCTCCCCAAGTTGCTCAGGCTGGGCTTGAACTTGTGACCCTCCTGCCTCAGCCTCCCACTGCTGGGATTACAGGCGGGCACCACCACACCCAGCTCCCATCCTCTCTTCTTGCTAACCTCAAAGGGTTCCCACTTCCCATCCAAAGGTCTGGGCTTCATCCACCAATCTCCCCACTCCTCTGCTGCCCTGGACATTCCCCTGTACCTGGGTAGGATTGCTCATCTCGGGGCAACTGTCGCAAGCGTCTCCCACTCCGTCCTCATCCCTGTCTGTCTGCAGTGGGTTGGGTACTTTAGGGCAATTGTCCAATCCATTGGGGATACCTGGAAGCCATGTGGGAGGCACAAAGTTGTCGGAGAACGTGTCTCCCCCTCTTCTATGTTGGTAAAAGCCCTGAGCTGTGTCTCTCCCCTCAGAGCACAATTAATCACTGGAGAAATCTGCCCCTACCTTATCTCACCTCCTGCCCACATCCGCCTCCCTACTGCCCCTCTGTTTCTGCCAGCACGCGCCACACGTCACGCCATGCCCCTCAGCAGGCCACCTCCCCGCTCCCGGACACCTGGCCTCCGCCCCTCCCCTGCACAGGTCCCTCGCCGCCCGGCCCCCCTCGGACCATCTCCGTCCACGTCGTCATCGCAGGCATCGCCTTCCCCGTTGCCGTCAGTGTCCTTCTGGTCATTGTTGGGAACGTTGGGGCAGTTGTCACAGGCATCGCCAAATGAGTCTGTATCCGAGTTCTGCTGGTCCTTGTTGGGAAGCAGCCGGCAGTTGTCCTGGGAGAGCGTTGAGAAGGAAGGGTCAGGGCCCCCAAGCCCTTGCAGAGGCCCACCCTGGGACAGCCGCCTTGTCCCGGCCCGGGCTGGTGTGCCGGGGCCCTTCCTGGGGAACGGCAGGAGTAGGGCTGCGGGCAGACAGCAGTCTGGGAGCCACCTCCACATTCTTGACCCCGTCCCCGTCAGCGTCATCGTCACACTGGTCCCCAACACCATCGGTATCAGCGTCTTCCTGCCCAGAGTTGGGTGTCAAAAGGCAGTTGTCCTAGAGCGGGAGGAAGAACACAGACAAGCTCTGGCCAGAGCTCCCCCGGGCTCCCGCCCTGCCTCTTTGGCCCCTGGCCCCTGACCCCTGACCTGCTTGCAGTGCTTATTGTTGTCCATGCAGGGCAGTGCCTGGTCTGGGTAGCCATCGATGTCCGTGTCGGGCCCACACACGTTCCCGTTCCCTGCCCAGCCCACATTACACTGGGACAACACAAGTGCCAGGAGTCAGCGCTGCTGCTGCTCCTCTCCCTTTCCCACGAAGGGCCTCAGCCCAGGCCCTGCATGGGTTCACCAACCTCACCCTTTTCCTTCCTTCCAAGCCCCAGACCTAGCTCACCTGGCAGGACACTGCGCCGTTGCGTTCGAAGAGACAGTGAGCATGAACATGGCAGGGGCTATGGGCTGGGCTGTGGCAGGTCCTTGCAGGGAGGCAGCCCTGGCTCTGGTTGCCCAGGAAACCCAGGCGGCAGGGACCACATTTGAAAGACCCCTAGGAGTGGGAAGTGCAGTTAGGAAGGAGCGGGAACCTGCTAAGTGGCCTGGACCAGCACTCCCCAGCCCGTGGGGTGTAGGATGGGCACTCACGAGATGCCAGGCATAGCACATCTCCTTTAGGTGCTCAGGACCACCCTTTCAGATAGATAAATAGCCCCATGAAGTTGAGACTCAGAAAAGACTAAATAACCTGCTGAAGGTCACAGCTGGTAGGAGCCTGAAACCGGCATGTGCACCTGGGGCCGTGTGAGGACCTACTCTGAGCAGCCCCCTGGGGCAGGCGGCAGGCGGCAGGCGGCGGCGGCATGGAGAGGGTGACACAGCCCTGAGACCCCAGACACACAGGGCCTCTGCTCACCACAGTGTTGGTGCAGATGGAGTTGGGGTCACAGCCACCATTGTTACCATCGTTGCATTCGTCGATGTCATTGCAGACCTGAGGGGCAGACTGGGTGGAAGCAGCTCGCCGCAGACAGGTGCTGATGAGCCCAGATCCAAACCCGGCCCACAGCGCCCTCACCCCATTAAACACAAGGGCCCCATGTTCAACCCAGAAGCCCCTGACCTCTGCAGGGCCAAGATCCCGTGCCCACCCTGACTACCCGGCCTGACCTGTCTGCTGGCCCGGGCGTAGTCGATGCCCACACCAGACACCCGGGTGCCCTTGTACCCTGGAGGACAGGTCTCACAGTGGAAACCGGGCACGGTGTTGATACAGCTGGAGCCAGGGAAGCAGGGCTCAGCATGAGCGCACTGGGGGCCAGAGGAGAGGCAGAGTTCAGGCCCGGGGAGCCCCTAAACCCTCCCTCCTGATCTCCCTCCTGCAGCTCTCCCGCAGGGTGTTCCTGAGCCCTGCCCACCTTCCCTCTGGGCGGCTGGCCTCCCTCCATCTCACTTTGCTAGTCTCCCCCCTCTCCTGAGCCTCAGACTCCTCCCTCCAGCCCACTTCACTCCGCCCTCCCGACACCCTCACCCTGGGCTCTGCCCTCCCACCTCATTGATGTCGGTGCAGTGGGTGCCGTTGCCCTGCAGGCCTGGGGGGCAGGGCCCACAGCGGTAGCCCGGGTACTCATATACTTCCATGCAGTCCACACTGGGGAAGCAGGGGTTGGGGCTGCAGTGCGAACGCTGCTCGTGGAAGCCTGGAGGAGGCAGTGTCAGAGCCACCCGGGACAGAGGGCGTTCACACCATGTGGCCTGGGTGAGGGCGCTGCCCTCGGAGCCCTCCCTGCTCCCCACTCACCGCACACCTGACACTCCATGATGGTGTTTCGGATCAGGGACATCTCCTTCACCTGAGGGGGGGAGGAGGCAGCTCAAACCCACCCCCCCCCCAGAGCCAGCGGCACCCTGGGCTGGCCTACCCATACCTGCTCTCGGATATCATCCCGCAGCTCCACCAGGATCTGGTTGAAGAGGGTGAGTTGGGTGACCAGTGCCTTGGTCTGCTCCCCTGTTGGGGCCCAGGGTATGGGGAGGCTCAGAGCTGGGGATCAGCGCTGAGCCAGCTTCTGCCACACCCACCCACTCCCAGCCTCTCATTAAAACCACTTGGTTCTGGGAGCTGCCAGAGCCTGAGGGCTCCTCACCACCCGGCCCCTTCCACCTCCTGGTGCCTACTCACCTAGGATGGACTGCAGCACACTGGTCACTAGAGGGTAGAGGGGAGAAAACCTGGTCAGGGGGTGCTGGGGAGGAGGGAGGAAGAGGGACGGAAGAGGGACGGGACAGGGACGGGACAGGGACAGGGACAGGGCTGGAGCCTCAGATGTTGCATGGTGGGAGGGCAGAGGTGACGGGCAGCAGTTTGCCCGCCCCTGCCAGGATCAAACCTGGAAGCTCAGGTGTTAAGCAAGTGCTCTGCCATTGGCCACAGCCCCACCCAGCACCATGCTTTCCCCTGGGCTGGGATCCTCTAAGAGCTGCCTCATGGGACATCAAAACCCCAATCCTGGGCCCACAGATTTAGCTCAGTGGTTTTGCTGCCTGCCTCACAAGTGCAAGGACGTGAGTTCAATCCCTGATACCAAACAAAACCCCAAACCCAAATCCTGGTTCCCAGACGTAATTAATGGTAGAAGGGGTTCAAGTGACAGGCCGCCCAAGCAGGGCCAGGACCTGTGCGTTCTAGTTCCTCCCTCCCTCCCCAGCGTCCAGTTTGGAAGGATCTGGAGAAGTCAGTGCTGACTTGGGTAGGAGCCTCTGAGTGCCCTACTGAGCCTGGACCGAGGGGAAATCTGAGACACTGCTGGCATGTGCCAGCTGCCGAGGGGAGCACGAAAGATTGGAGATCAGGATCTCAGCTATGACCAAGCAATTGCCTTCCCTCCTCTGTCCCTGCAAAGTCCACAGAGCTAGAGTTCTCCCTCAGACCACTTTATCTTTCTGGCCACCCTGGTAGGCAGGGTGACCTACGCAGGGAGTTCTGGTTTATAGTGGTACTGGTGATAGAACTCAGGGCCTCAGCACTGAGCTACAGCCCCAGGTCTTCTTATTTTTTATATTTTTAAGACAGGGTCTAGCTAGGTTGCCCAGGGTGGGCTTGAATTTGGAATCCTCCTGCCTCAGCCTCCCAGAGTGCTGGGATTACAGGCATGCGCCACCACATCTGATTTAGGGAGATATATTTGACCCACATCTCCTGTGTAGAAGATCCATGGGGTCAGAGAAAAAAACATTTGGGATAACAGGATCAGAAGCCCCAGGCACAGGTGAGCCAGAGAAATGGGTGCAGGAGGAGGAAGGGCAGAGGATAGGAGTCAGAAGGCCACGGTCCTGTGGCCCAACGTCAGCTAACAGGAGCTGCTGTTACCTGCACTGTGGATGGACTCGTCTCCATGGAATGGACACTCACTCAGGGCTCCTACCCGGGCCATGGACCCGCCCAGAATAATTTTCATCGATTCCACAAAGCCCTGGGGGGACAGTATGTAAGATGGGGGAATCTAGCACCTACTCCCCCCATTGCTACCAACTCAGGGTCCCTCCTGCTCACCTGCATCCTCAAATAAGCCTTCTGACCAGTCCGGATCTCCAGCCCACTGACCTCTGCTGGTGGGATGGGGGCCAGGGCTGGCAGGCTGGCATGCTGGTCACCCAGTTTGCAGTCCACATAGAGCTGTAGGCTGGGGCTGGGCCGGGACGGACCTCGGAGCCGCAGGAGAGCGGTGTGTGTGCGTCCGTCAGCCAGGCCTGCTTGCTGTAGATTCACTGCGTGGACTTTGCCATCCTCCCGCTGGTACCGCACCAGTACTGTCCAGGAGGGGGGTCAGTCTGTGCCCTGTCCCCGACCCTATGTCCCCCTCGAGGCTTAGATACCACATCGCTAAGGCTACCACCCCTAATGCAGCTGCATTTCTCAACACCTTGTACCTAACAGGTGCACAATAGATGCTTTTCACATTGGCTTTTAGTCTTCACTAAATCACATCACCCCTGCCTCTCCCAGGATGCCAGCTAGTTTTGTACCCACTCAATGATGCCCAGAGTCCAAGGGGCCTCTGTCACTGCTGGGGTACAGAATCCCAAGTGGGCATCCCCAAATACAACCTCATCCCCACCCCACCCCCTGCAATTTGACGGATGGAACCCAGGCCTCAAGCACGCTGGGCAAGTGCTCTCCCACTGACCTCTCCCAGCCCCTCCCATCCCCACAGCACTGTTTGGGTACCTGGCCTCCTGACTTCCTAAGCGCCCCCACACGTGCCCTGGTACCAGTGCACAGCCCAGGGGGCCCATGGTCCTAGTGGGGGTCAAGGGGAATTAGGAGGGGGGAGGGGAAGTGCTCAGGGTTGGTGGGTTCCCTGGAGCAGGAAAGGAGGTGCCCACCAGTCACCTTTGTTAATCTTGCCCACAACGGAGGCCTCCAGCCAGCGAGTGTTGTCATGGCGAGAGTACAGTCCGAAGAGGACACCACCCTGCTTGGGAGGCAGGCGAAAGGTGGACAGGAGGTAGACGTCCCCAGCAGTGAGTAGGGCTGTCCGGATCTTCTCTGCCACGGCTCCCATCTGCCGGGACTCACTCACAGTCAGCAGGTCAATGACTGGCCGGACAGGGTCATCAAAGAGCAGAGTCACGTGCGAAGGCCTGGCCTCTCCCCTGAGCTCTCAGGCTCGGGGCACCCTAATATCAGCTCCCCACCACCAGGCAACATACTGTCACCTTCTCAGAACTCAACCTCTTTTGCTATCCAACAGTGGAGGCAGTGGGCCTTCCCTTCCTTCATTATTGCCTACTACCTCCCTCTGGGAAGCTGCAGGCCTGAGGATCACTTAGAAATACAAAAACCGCCCACAGACTTGAGATGCCCCCACCAGGTGGCGCAAGGGAGCCGATGTGCCTGCCGATTAGTCAGGAGTGGCACCTGGTCCCGAGCACAGCGAGGAGAGGCAGGCAGCTTCTCTCTCCATTGCTGGGTTTGGCTCCTTCACACCTCGGTCCCCTCCTCCCATCAGGGGGCTCCGCCACTCCACGGATAAGAACAGCTGCCCCCTGAGGGCTCTGACCCGCCCACCTTCTGAACTTCCCGGCCCCAGCGGGAAGTAGAACCTAGCTGCTCTGCCTCCTGTGTCCTGTCCAATCTGTGGTTTCTCCTCCAGCCAGTAAAGAATCTTTGCCTGTGTCATCCGCTCCAGCTACCTCTCCCACACCCTAGGGCTCATCCCACTGCCAGACCTCCGGGAGCGCCAGACCTCAGTCCCCACCCCCACCATCTTGTCTTCGTGAACCAGGAGCCTGGAGAAGGGGGCCATGCCCAGGGACCCACCCAGGGCACCCACCTCAGGCTGCTCTCTCAGACCCCAGGGTGCCTGCAGATGCTCTGACACCAGCCAGCCAAGGAGCCCTACCAGCTCCGACCCTCTGCCCTGGCTTCATGCCTGGCCCTGGCCAGTACTACGCACCCACCACTCCCGGTCCCCACTCGAACCCACCATGCCGTAATTCCACCAACTCCAGGCAGTGTAATTCATCCCTCTGGCTCAATGTCGGGACTCTTCCTCTCTCCTGGCCTACATGTTCCCCAATACCAGGGCTGGGGTAATAGGGAGGAGGTTGAGACGGGGTCTAAGAGGATGGACACGGGCTTACCCTGCAGGTCCTGACTGGCAGATGCGAAAGAGCAAAGGAAGAGGAGAGCCAGGGCCCCCCGAAGTCCCTGCGTCTCCATGCCGCTCAGCCGGCTCACTACCCCTGCCAGGCAGGCTGCTGGGAGGGGAAAAGGCTAGGCGGAGAGAGCGGGGGGGGGGGGGGCGGAGGGACGGAGGGGGGAGTCGAAGGGGGGGGCAGCAGGCGGGGGGGGGGTGCTGAAACAAAGAGCTGCCAATCACCCTGAGGCATCACCGGCCACGGCCGGGACCAGGGGCGCCGGGACCAGGGGCACCGGGAAGGAGTCCTAGGAGCCTCCCTGCCTTCGGTTTCCCCCTGATGCTCCTCGCCCCAGGTGCTTCCCTCTCCTCCAACGCCCCGCTGTTGGGGGCCTCGACACGCAGGGCGACCAAATGCTACTGTTTTCTGGAAACCACAGTGAGGACAGGCAGGAACCCCTGGCGTGGGCCGGACAGTGGGCATTACTCCACAGCTGGCAACTAAGGGTGCCAAAGGAGTGGCCGGAGCTAGCTTGCTGTAGTGCCGAGGATGCCCACATGGCCCGAAGCTTGCTGCTCTGGCAGGAAGAAAGTGCTCTTTATTAGGGTGGGGGTTCTCAGTCTTCCTGTTCTTCCATTTCCCCTCATTCCTAGGAAAACTTGGAGTCTGGAGGCGTCCGATTAGAGCTGGACGGAGAGCTGAAAACTGGTCAGTGAGGTCGAAGCGAAGGAATCAAGAAAAAGGAAAAGGACTCTAGAGATAGGAGTAGAAAGCCAGGGGACAGGCCAGGAGCCAAGGACCAGACTGGGGCACGCTGTGGGTACCGACGGACCGACCGTGACCCGGATGAAGCGGAGGGGCGCCTGAGTTCCCGTTACTAAGGCAACAGTCCGCGAACCCACCTCCCCTCCCCCACCAGGCCCCAGCCCGGCCTCCGCTCCAGCCGCCGCCGCCGCCCCTGTTTTGTTTCCATGGCGACAGGCGGCGCGGGGCCGGCTCCAAACATAACGCTCTGTGGAAAACATGCGGCTCGGGGGGCCCCCCCCCCCGCAGCCCCGGCGCGGGGCCGAGCCCCGAGTGGCCCCGGAGCAGTCCAGGCCACGTGCAGTTAGGCAGGAGCCCGCAGAACAAGGCCAGGCGCCCCAGATCGCCGACCCCTAGGCCCGCACCGTCGTCGGGGGTTCAAGGCTCCCCTCGGCCGAGGGGCCCAGACTCTCCGAGGCGGCCCTGGCTGGCGGCCGCCCTCCCCCGAGGCCCGCGACCCCGCCTCCCGCCGCCCCCCACCGCGGAAAAGCTGCGCGGCCGCCCCCTGCCCCCAGCTCCCTACAGGGGTGGCTGGAGGCGGAGCCGCGCGGGAGCGGGCTGGCGCGCGCGGGGAGGTGCTTCCGGGTCAGAGGGCGCCCAAGATGGCGGCGCCCATGGAGCTGTTCTGCTGGTCGGGGGGCTGGGGGCTGCCTTCAGTGGACCTGGATAGCCTGGCCGTGCTGGTGAGGGTGGCGCCGGCGCCCTCTGCTGCGCCCTAGAGGACTAGGGAGGGGGCCCGAGCTAAGCGAGCATCGGAACTTTGCCGGGCCGCACTGGGGGAAACTGAGGCAATCAAGGACCAGGATTAGCCCATATGGGCTCAGTGCCCTATACCGTGGTTTCCTAGGATTCGTCCAGCAGTGGAAAGAGGCCTGACGGGGGGTTCAGGAGATGGATTTTACTCCTTGTTTATCTATTTACTGGCTGTGTGACCTTGGGGCAGCCCCTTCTGGATGATCTCTTGTCGTCTCAGTACCCCTTTCCTCCTTCTTGCCAAACACCATCTACTGAGCCATGTTGGACCAAACGGTCCACAGCCAGGCTGTAGAAAGAGCTCTGGAGTCAGACTTAGTCCACATCACCCCTGCTCTCACTCTTTGATTTTAAAAGTACGTGTTAGGCTTCTCCCAAATACCAAACATTGTCATGGAACAATGAGTAAGATTTGCTCCCTCCCCTCAAGTTGTTTAGGGAAAGGCAGACATGTAGCCATTTAATGAAACGTTCACGTGTGAGACATAATATACATGAATAGAAACAGGCTCCAGAAACTCGCAAAGAAGGGCATGATCGGTGCTATCGAGAAGAGGGTACTGGTTATGAGAAGCTTTTGTGGATAGGCATTCACCAGGCAGATGGCAGGAGAGGAGATAAAGGAAGGATTTTCCTACTCGTAATCATGGACCTGTCCATAATCTCCCTGAGCCCCATTTTGCCCATTTGTAAAACAGGAATAGTAATGTCTCTTTTTTGTACAAAGGTGCTATGCACAGGCATGACACATAAAATATTCAGTAAATTTCTCTGCTTGGTTCCTTGGCCTGTCTTCTGCTTCCTTCCCTGCAGACGTATGCCAGATTTACTGGTGCTCCACTCAAGGTACACAAGATCACCAACCCCTGGCGAAGCCCTTCAGGTATCCACTGTCCCTGGGGTGAGGGGTGAGGAAGGGAGTGTGCAAGGGAAGTACCAGGAAACAGGCAGCAGTGTGGTACAAAAGTGTGACTGGGCATGTGGCCCACTCTTGTAATCCCAGCACGGAAGCAGGAGGATCAGTGCAAGTTCCAGGCCAGCCTGGGCTACAAAGTGAGACCTTGTCTCAAAAGGAAAGAAAGGATGTGTATGAATAGGCAGCTAAAGTTCTGGTGGGCGCACTTTCTCAATGTCAGGAACTTTGCCTGCTCTTCGGACCAGCCATGGAGAAGTCATCTCGGTACCACACAGGATCATCACCCACCTTCGAAAAGAGGTAGGTGTCTTGGATGGGGGGCTACCAGTGAGGCAGATCCAGTCAGTTCAGTGTAACGTATTTATTGAGCACCAGGTAATGTGGCAAGCTCAGCACAGGTGATGCAGAGCATCAAGGAACACACGTTCTGATGAGAAAGACATACACTGTCACTGTGATGCAGTAAAGCTGTTGGCTAGAGATTAAGTTCAGGGCCCTGTGAGGGCATCTGGAGACAGTGCCTTTGGTGTGCCGGACAGGGCGGGGACAGGTGTAGGCTGATGGCACATGGAAGAGAAAGTAGAGAACAGCAGTTGACTCTGATGAAGCCCTCAAAGGTGGTACTAGAAAAGGACTTCTAAGGACAGCCTGAATTACCCAGCGAGACTCTGTCTCAATAAAAGAGAAAGCAAGAAACAGATTTTTTTCTCCTTTTTTCCTTAGACCTAGGGCCTCATGTGTGCTAGGCTAGCACTATGCCACTGAGTCACATCAACAGACCTTTTTGTTTTTATTTCGAGGCAGGGACACACTAAGTTGCCAGGCTACCCTCCAACTTGTGATCCTCCTGCTTCTGCCTCCGTATTTGGGATTACAAGTGTGTACCATCACAGCTTTAGAAAGGAACTCAATGGCTACCTCCTTGTTTTCAGGGACTGGACTGGGCTGGATATGAGGCTCAGGAGGGACAAGGCTTAGAGCCAGGTTGGGGAATCTGAAAGAGCATTACAAGAAGAGTTGGAGGCTTAGGCTGTGCTGTTCACTCTGTCATTGACTGTGTGATTGGGCAAGTCGCCTGCCCTCCCAGAGCTATAAGATCCTTATGTGTAAAACCAGGTGGCTTAGCCAGCATGCTTTCCAAGGTTCTTCTAGCACTCAGTCTGGTTCCAAAAGGGAACACATTGTCAGAAATGGAACCCTCTTCCTCATTTCTACTTTCCCAGAGGTTAAGGAACTAGAGAATGACTGGAGGCATGAGAGACCTAGATTCTGTATTGTTTTAATGATAAGAGGATAGTAATATACCTTGGTCTCTTTTTTTTTTTTTCTGATACTGGGGATTGAACTTAAGACCTTACGCTTGCCAGGCAGGCGTGGTGCCACTGAGCTACATCCGTGGTCAAGAGACCTAGAGAAATAGGATCCAGGTAAAAGCCAAAGTTCCTGGCAGGGCCAGGACCACTGCTGATTCCTTATGTACAAACAGAGCTTTTCCAGTTTCCAAAGTTTTTTCTAAATTACTTACTAACATAGCCACATTGAGAGAAAGAGATCATTACACTCATTCCCAGGGGAGAAACTGATGCTCAGAGAGATTTAGGGCTATGTGGAGACAAAGCTTCCTCAGGATGTGGAGGGGGTCCTAAGGAGCTGGGACTGAAGCCTGGGAGGTTGGGCAGCTTAGTCATGGGGGTACGGGTGGAATGTGTGTGTGGTGTGGTGCCTGGGCATGGAACAAAGCAGACGAAACAGCCAGGAGACGAGCCCTGAGGGAACCAGCCAGGGGTCCTGGGCATGAGTTCATGGGACCAGAGAGAGAGAGGATGGTTCTTCCCTGGTTCCTGATGCATGGGCTGCAGCCCAGCCTTCATCTGATCTCTGCTCTGTGGACTCTGTGGAGTCTGGGTCAGGGAAGTTACTGTTAGAAAGTTGCTGTCAGCAGGCACCTGGCCAGCTTTCCATGGAAACTCTGGGAGCTGCTCCTAGTTTGTGGCAAGGCCTTCCTTTCCCCTGTGGGCACAGGACCTTGACAGCCAGCAGGCTCCAAGGCTCAGGCTTTCTGCCAACAGCAACAGGCTCCTGGCTGGGCCCAGGGAAGGAGCCTCGGGGAAAAGCTTGCTTTACCTCCATTGCAATCAGGGGCCACTGAGGGGGGTACCATTCCTTCCCCGCTGGGGAAGTGCCCTCAGCCCTGCCCCCCGCCATGGATATTTCTCCCACAGAAGTACAATGCAGACTATGATCTGTCAGCCCGACAAGGGGCAGACACCCTGGCCTTCATGTCTTTGCTGGAGGAAAAACTGCTCCCAGTGCTGGTACGTGTGCCTGACTTCCCAGCATTCCTGGCCTATGGGGTGAGGGTCCGAGCAATGTGAGTCAGAAGCCTACCCTGAGTCAGGCAGGTGCACTGGCTCAGACCTCTTCTTCCTTCCTGCCAACCCAATCCAGATCCATACTTTTTGGATAGATACCAAGAACTATGTGGAAGTGACCCGGAAGTGGTATGCAGAAGCTATGCCCTTTCCCCTCAACTTCTTCCTCCCCGGCCGCATGCAAAGGCAGCACATGGAGCGGCTGCAGCTGCTGTGTGGGGAGCACAGGCCTGAGAATGAGGAAGAACTGGAAAAGGAGGTAGCTCTGGGACAGGGAGCTGTTGTAAGAGATGCGCCCTGGGATGATGGCCAGGGATGGCAGTGCCAGGAGGGGAGGCGGCACTGGTCCTGCGGCCCCAGGCCTACCTTTGTCCTCCCTACAGCTGTACCAAGAGGCTGGGGAGTGCCTGACCCTTCTCTCTCAGCGCCTGGGCTCCCAGAAGTTCTTCTTCGGAGATGCGTGAGTCATTCGGGGAGGAGCGGGTGGCTGGGAAGATGACACAGGTTCAGAGGCAGTGGCTGGGGTGGGCTTAGGCTCTGGGCAAGAGGCCCCGGACAGACACCAGATCTGGTGAGGACGGCTGTGTGGGGCTGGAGCCGCCTAGGTGGTACAGCAAGGTGGGTGGGAAAGGCCTGCACGGCTGAGGGGCACTCAATGTGCCCTTTATGCTCCCTGGGATAGAGCCCCATTCAGGGCGGGCTGGCGCCAGCTCAGGAGGCCTCCTATTCTGGGTCCAGAACTGTGCGTCCTGTCCTCCTCACTTCCTGAGGCCGCCTCTGCCCCCAGCTCCGTTTTGAGTGCTCTGCCTAGCTGTCCTCCTCCACCCTTCTCTCTCTCTCTCTCTGTCTCTTCAGCCCTGCTTCCCTGGATGCCTTCGTCTTTAGCTACCTGGCCCTGCTGCTGCAGGCGAAGCTGCCCAGTGGGAAGCTGCCGGCCCACCTACGGGGTCTGCACAACCTCTGCACCTACTGCACCCACATCCTCGGCATCTACTTCCCCTGGGATGGAGGTAAGGGGCCGGGGGCCGCCCTAGGGGCAGGGGCCGGGATCCAGGAACTAGCTCCTCTTCCTTCCTTGCCCTCAGCTGAGGTGCCACCCCCACGACAGCCACCAGCAGGCCCAGAGACTGAGGAGGACCCGTACCCGCGCCGGAACCAGATCCTGTCTGTGCTGGCAGGGCTGGCGGCCATGGTGGGCTACGCCTTGCTCAGTGGCATCATCTCCATCCAGCGGGCGGCACCCGCCCGGGACCCCAGCATCCGGGCCCTGGGCATGGCTGAAGAGGATGAAGAGCAGTGACTTGTCTTCGTGCTCCCAGGACTGATGTTTTTCACTGTCATGCATTCCAGAGCCCCTTTGGCTCCGCACTGCTGATACAGCCAGAAACGGGGTGCTACGACCCCGAATAAAACCACTCACAGCGACTCAGGCCACACGTTCTCTTTGAAGGGACTGCTGCTTTCCCAGCCAGAACAGAACACGTGGGTGCCAGAGCATGCGTACTCAGTGGCCTTGGCTGCCTCTGCCCTGCTGCCGGCCTTGCTCCTGCACGGGCCCGGTTCTGCGTCTCCAGGAGAAACAGACAGGACCCATTTGGGGTTCAGCTTGCTTGCTTTTTTTTTTCTTTCCTGGTACCAGGGATCAAACTCAGGACCTTGTGCTTGCCAGGCAGGCGCGCACCACTGAGAGCTACGTCCCCGGGCCTGGGTCCAGCTTTCTTAATCTCTTCTTTTCTCCCCAACCCCAGTCTTGAGTTTGCACGGTGAGCTCACCCTGGGCCTCGGCCTGGGTTGCACACAGCACACTCCCACAGCATGGGTCAGGGTCAGGGTCACGGGGTTTCCAGCCCCTGGCGCCTACTAAAAGGAGAGTGTCACCCAACCACCGCCCTGCTGAACCCTCAGCCTTGCCCTTTACTCAGCGTGTGCGCTGACTGTCCCTTCGGTGCCCGTGTCAGGCCCAGGTGCCTGCTTGGGTGTCCGCCCATCACTGGCGGCGCCACAGGTAGGTATGAATGGAGTGGCCAGGGGAGATGGTCTCCAGGAAGCCCAGGGCAGGGTCCTGGATGGTGAGAGGCACATCCCTGGAGGAGCTGGAAGGAGAAGAGGCGGGCATGTGACCCTCCCTGCCCAGACCCAGCCCAGGCCCTGCCCCACCCCGCCCACCGCTGTCCTCACCGGTTCAGCACGACCACAACTGCAGAGCCGTCAGGATGCAGCAGTGCCACAGCCTCCAGGTCGCTGTCCTCACTGGCCGCCAGCCCCACGCGATGAGAGCCCTCGGGGATGAACTTGCTGATGTGGGAACAAGCATCAAGGGACAGCCCAGCCCCTGCAGGCACCAGGACACCACCCCAGAACCCACCAGAGCTCTGCCCTAGTTCCCTGGGCCCCAAGCCCTGCTGCTCCACCCGACCCTGCCCGCTCACATCCCGACCCGGTGCCGGGCACCCTGGAATTGCCTGCGTCTCGGATGCTACCTAGTCAGGCTCTGCCCACGTGTCTCGGGAAGGGTGGCTGCACCTCTCCCAGGGTTCCAACCCTGAACGCCACCCTGGAGGCCTGACGCAGGAAATGACAGGCCCAGCGAGCAATGGGGACATTCGCTCTCCACTCACCTGAAGTGGCCAAGGTGATAAAACATGGGCTGTTTGTAAAACGTGTCCTTGCCAATATCTACAATGATGGGGCTGTCAACAAAGTTGCGGACCCAGTTAGGGCCCCCCTCAGGGTTCAGGGCGAGGTTCCAGTCGGTCCAGCCGACTACATGGTAGAGGAGGTTCTGGAGTAGAAACAAGGAGGGGCCCAGGCTCAACACGGGTTCCCAGAGAAGGAGCTGGGGTCAGGTGGAGAATATGGGGCTGTGAGGATGCAGACATTTCGAGGGAAGCTGGGGAAGTAGAAGCCAGTACAGCGGCTGGGCCCAAGCCTGAGGAGAGGCAGCCAGAGGTGCCCAAGGCGCGCTGGG